AGAAACAAGTCCTCACTCTCAAGAATATTTTTGTCTAAGAGATATGACACAGGTGCCAAAAAAAAAAAAAAAAAATGTGAATAGCAATGAGATGTTCTCTGACCCAAAAGGAACGTTGAAAATCTTGTGGGATCTGAGAAGGAGGGCTCACTCTTAGATAAGAATCAAGAATTCATGTAGAATGTTACACCTGCATTAAGCTTTAAAGGTACAACTTAGATAGGCAGAACCGGGCATGAACAGAAAAAGTAGAGGAAAAGAGAGGGTGATAGAGACCAAGGGCCCAACAGGACCGAACAGAGAGGCAGAGAAAGGCAAGGGCACCAAAGCTGTGAGTTTCAGTCCAGAAGGCCAGTGACTCAATAGGAGCAATGAAAGATGGGGCTGCAGAGATATGCATTCATGTCACACCAGGTTCTGAACACCGACTTAGGGCTGGTGGATATTAGCATCTACCAGGATTCCTGGGTACTTTATACACACTCAATAAATATTTGATGAATAAGCCAGTGGAAGAGAATAAAACCCATATTTCTCCTTAAAACCTCTGCAGTAAATACAAGGTAAGACTTGGTATACAAGATCCTTAACAAGTCTGCTGATGAGCAGATGCTAGGCAAGAAGCCTGTTGAAGGGGAAGTGGAATGGGGGTGCAGACTTGATCTAAAATCAGAAGAATCACACAGGAAATGAGGACATCATGTCTATGCTTCACTTCTAAAAACAAATTTATAAGATTAATAGTGCCTTCAGGTAATAGAAATACTCTGTATCTTGCTTTGAGCCATGGTTACAAAATGGGCCACGGTGTGGTTTGTAGGAGTCCCTGGGTGGGGAAAATGGTTAAGGGCTTGACTATTATCATAGATTGAATTATGTCTCCCAAAAGTATGTGTCAACTTGGCTAGGCCAAGATTCCCAGTACTGTGTGATTGTCCATCATTTTGTCATCTGATGTGATTTTCCTATGTGCTGTAAATCCTGCCTCTATGATGTTAACGAGGCAGGATTAGAGGCAGTTAGGTTAATGAGGCAGGACTCAATCTACAAGATCAGGTTGTGTCTTAAATCAATCTCTTTTGAGATTAAAAGGGAGAAGTGAGCAGAGTGACATGGGGACCTCATACCACCAAGAAAGCAGTGCCGGGAGCAGAGCGCATCCTTTGGACCTGGGGTCCCTGTGTCTGAGAAGCTCCTAGACCAGGGGAAGACTGATGACAAGGATCTTCCCCCAGAGCTGACAGAGGGAGAAAGCCTTCCCCTGGGGCTGGTACCCTGAATTTGGATTTCTAGCCTACTAGACTGAGAGAATAAATTTCTCTTTGTTAAAGCCATCTACTTGTGGTATTTCTGTGATAGCAGCGCTAGATGACTAAGACAACTATTAACGGAGAGGCTGGTTGTTCAGATGCACCCAGATGTGCCATGGAAGAAAGGCCTGCTGAGCTGCTTCTGAAAGGTCACAGCCTTGACAACCCTGTGGAGTTCAGTTCTACTCTGCCCCCACATGGTCCTCATGAGTCAGAATCTACTTGGCAGTAACTGGTTTGGTTGTTTTGGTTTTGTATTGTTTGTAAATAAATACTAAATGTCTAGTTTGGTGGGGATCTGCTGCTGTACCTAGTATGCCTCAGTAAGTATCAAGCAACTGGACTTCCACCCAACCCCACTGCGTGCTTTGTATTTCACCCATTTTGCTAATTGTTTGTAACTACTTACACTTTCCTGTCAACATTGGTTTGCTCATACTTTACTCCAGCCCAAGACTTAACCCATGAGATGTTCTTCCTTACTGCTCCGTCTTCAACCCCACATGTCTCTGTGAGCTCCTTATCACAGAGACCCTGCACCCTGTGTTTTTATGCTAAATTCTACCAGGACTGAGAGCTCCTGGGGGTCAAGAAGAGTGTTTCCTTCATCTATGAGTATCCACAGTCTAGCTCAGAGCCAGCACTTAGCAGGCACTCTTAAAGCTTGCTGACTGAACGAAGCAGAGCAGCTGAACTGAAAGGTGTTTTTAAGCTTATTCCTCAACAACAGTGGAGGGTATGGACTATTTCTTCAGGTTTCTGTATTGCTCCAATGCCGTATTCCATTAATGACTTTTATCAGAGATGCTTAGAATTCAGTGCTTAGAACTCAGAGCAGCCAAGGATCCCAGGGAACACATGACTCCCTTTAAATGAATAAAATGAGGTGCAAGTGAGGCTGTGTGACCTCCAAGACTAGGTTAGAAAGGGTGATACAGTTTCCACCTTGCCCTTGTCTTGAGATGCTTTCCCTTGGAACCAAGCCGCCACGTAGTTAGGAAGCTCAGCACACCTGGAGAGACCATGTGAAGGCTGACAACTCTAATGGAGATCCTAGTCAAAGCCAGGATCAACTGCCAAACATGTGAGCCAGTAGATCTTCCAGTGACTTCAGTCCCAGCCTTCCAGCTGCCTCCGCTAACACCAGAAACAAGTTGTCTCTGCTCAGCCTTTTTCAAACTGCAGATTCATGAGCAAAATAATGTTAGTTTGCTAAGCCAGTATGTCTGGGAGGTTTGTTAGACAGCAATAAATAACTGGAATTCCTTGGGCAAGTCACTTTCTCTCAACTGGTACTCATGTAAAATGTCAGAGTCGGACAATGTGATCGCCAAGTTCTCACCCTGCTCCGACTCACAAAAGCTCTGCAGAGATGCATGCAACAGCTTCCACTTACACAGTGGCTATGCAAATGCAGGATGCCCTTGAATCAGTACAAACACATCCCCACTAGAGAGCACTGGTGGGGCAGTGGTTAAGAGCTTGGCTGCTAACCAAAAGGCTGGCAGTTCGAATCCACCAGCTGCTCCTTGGAAACCCTACGGGGCAGTTCTACTCTGTCTTACAGGGTCACTATGAGTCAGAATCGACTCGATGGCCATGGGCTTGGTTTGGTTTTAGACAGCATCAAAGAGAAAGCAGGCAAAGAGCAGGAGGAAAGTGCTATGCTGAAAGCATCTAAGAGGAACGCAGCCTTCTTATAATTTCCTGTACTATTTGTGTGAGGATGGGGTCAGGGGTGTGCGATGTGTAAGCCCTGAAGCTGGGTGTGCTAGCCAGGAGGTGGAAACCCAAATACAGCTCAAATCAACTCTCCAGACCAGGAGTCAGCAAACTATGGCCCTTGGGCCAAATCCAGTCCACAACTGTTTTGTTTTTGTTTTATAACAGCTTTATTGAGATATAATTTACATACCATACAATTTACCCATCGAAAGTGTACCATTCAATGGTCTTTAGGGGATTCACGCAGTTGTGTAACCAGACCCACAATCAATTCTACCCTTGTTTGTGTAAACAAGGTTTTATGGCACAGGGCCACACTCATTTGTTTATTTAAGAACTGCTGCTTTTAGGCTCCAAGGAGGAGCTGATAGTTGCAACAGAGATCTTTCGGCCAGCAAAGCCAAAACTATTGACCATCTATCTGACCTTTCACAGGAAAAGTCTGCAAGCTCCTGCTGTGGGCACGAATCAGCTCTGTCACGTGCTCTGTGTTTAGGATTACTCAGGAAGCACAACTGCAGGTGGCTCTTTCCGATTCCTAGGCAACCGCCTTGAGTTTCCGTTTATCTTCAAGATGGGGATGACAATACCTAACTCAGAGGCTGTTGTTAGAAATACTGCCAATGAGATAACAGACGTGACCCCTTCAAGCCACAAGCAACCCGTGAGCTTTTGCAGACTTGAACCTCTTCTAGTTTAATGCCCTCTAACAGCTTCCCATTTCACCCAGAATAAAATGAAAACATCTTACCACGGCCCACACAGCCCTATGGGATCTGACCTCTGACATCATCTTCCCCCATCTCCCCCTTCACTCACTCTACTATGTTCAGGTGGACCTTCATTCCACAATTCAAACCCATCGACATGTCCCCATCGCCTTTGCCCTGACTGTTCCCTCTGCCCAGAATGTTCCTCTTCAGCCCTGTTCCACAGATTCACACAGCCAGCTCGGCGTCATCCAGAGCTCAGCGAAGGGCACCACCTCCAAGAGGCCTTCCTGACCACACAATCTAAAGCATCCTGCCCCCATCGCTTCACCACTATAGCCTTTACCAGTAGCTTACGGGCTTACTGGAGCCCTGGTGGCGCAGTGATTAAGAGCTTGGTTGCTAACCAAAAGGCTGGCAGTTCGAATCCACCAGCCACTCCTTGACAACCCTATGGGGCAGTTCTACTCTGTCCTACAGAGTCACTATGAGTTGGAATCGAGTTTGGTTTTATGGACTTACTGGTTTATTACTGTCTCTCTAGACAGAAAGTAATTCTAGAAGAGAAGGACTTATCTGTCTTATTCACTGGTGTATCTCCAGCTCCTAGAATAGGGCCTGGCACACAGAAGAGGATAAATGTGTTGGAAGTATAAATAAATATTAGATGGAGGCCTGTCTATGAACTCCAAAGGCTGCATAGACATCACAGTGTATGCTTTTCTTCCATTCTTTCCCTGTTGTCCCTTCCTGTTAAAATTTGCTTACCTCAGGTCCTTTATAGAAAGCTCTTGATTAAGGGCTATACAAGCATTAACTAAACCTACGAATTAGATCATTGCCAAGGTCATGGGTAATGTGCAAGTCATCTAAGGCCTAATGTGAAAAAGTCATCATGTATTTACGTGATACGTGTCTACTCTAACTTTACTCCAGGGCCACCATAGCAGTCTTAGACCTATAAACATTCCTCCTGCCTAGAATTTTCCTCCTCGGGAACCATGTTTACCAGCTCAGTTTTTCTATATGGCAGGTATTCAACCAGTTGCTGAGTTGTCTGCAAACGCGCAAACA